CACAGACCGCTATTCAAGCCCATTAAGTATGTAGCGCGTTGCTTTCCCCTGTTCTTCGTTCCGTCTATCCGTCCTGTAAGTATCCGATTTTCCAAGCCCTCTTTCCTCATCATGTGTCCCAGAAATGTCAACTGCTTCTTTTTGATGTTACGTATGTTACCTGTTTTTTTTTTTTTTTTTCATTCCTAGTAAGAACTAGATCAAGGCAACTGGAGATGTCGATTGACATTACATTTGAAAAGTTGGAGATTATAGCTATCAGGGGGAAAAAGAATAGGGAAGGGAGTTCCACAGGCGAGAGGTGCGAGATATGGAGCTATTGAAGTAGAAGAGGCAGCTACATTTAACAGTTTCAACAGAGAGCGGGATGCCAGCCTTGTAGGACGCTTGAATTCGCGAATTCTGGGAACCAGCGAAAACAGCTCATCGGAGCAATTACCACGAAAGGAAAGCCATTATATTTAAATATGGCGACAAAGACGAAGGCCGAATAGTCCGAATAATGTAAATAGTATACATAATACCCCATCTCTGAAATATAGACAGATAACAACAAAAAATATAATATATAAATAGTATAGATAATTATTAAAGCCTATATATGATAATAAGAGAAAAATACGTTATCTCTGTTATTTTAGAAATCTGTCTTCATAACGATGGTAAATAAGCCACATGCAAATGAATGAGAGTTCCATCTGACTATCATTGTAAATAGTCACATAACTATTCTTAAAATTCTAATGATTTTTGGTTTGGTTTGTTTTGTTTTACGGCATATCAAAAAAGGGGTTAGTAGATGCCAAAAATTCATTTTTTTTTTTCAAAAATGTATAGCTGGCAATATTTTTTATTAAAATGTATAGTTTGGTTTCTTTTGTTTTGTGGCGTATTAACCTCAATGGGTTATTTAATACTGACAATTTTTTTTTTGTTTTTTTTATTTCTGGTAATATTTTCTCCTTTCAAATATTTGTTGCTGATACTAATGTGCTTTAAAAGTATATCTGGTATAAAAAATCTATTTTTACACTTTCATAGTGTTTTGAGTCAGGTTGTGGGGACAACTATTTGCCCATAGTTGGGACCCTAACAGGTGCTACCACATCGGATCAGGGTAGACCTGTGGACACCAGCAATCAAGAGGTTGGTCCACGCTCCTCAAAACCTCTTGATCAGAGGCCTTGCTGCTGGACGTAGTTTATCGTCTTACCCATGACGCGGATATAGTTTATCGCCATACACAGGACAGACTAATGAAGAGATTTCATGCCAAAATTTGACAAAAGAAAGAAAATATAAAAAATGTAAAAATCGTAGAGGGAAGCTATATTGCGGTAGTGGGGAAGACGCTGAAGGCGAAGACTGAAAATGAAAGATAGGAAGTTGCGGAGAGCCATGATCGCCAAAACTTAAATGACATTACATATAAAAGAATGCTTTGATTTTTCGTTTTTTTAATTTAATTAAAGTCAGAGCATAAATATCCAAACAAAATCGTGCTTTTCTGAAAGGTCTCCATTAAAAATGAATACTTGCAATATCCGCTATACCATTTCTCGATTTCCAGGATTATAGACAAAATCGTCATCTCCAGAATTTCAAAAGTTTAGTGCTCAAAATATTCAAAGAATATCATCGTGTTTATAACTTGTTTCACTTTCTATTTGTTTAATTCGATTCTGCGATTCCTATCTCTTCTTAAAATTAGTTAGTCTAATCTGAATATTTGAGTAGCGTTATTAGACTCGATTTCACAATCAACAAATATTTTCTTTCTGTTATTGTCAATATTTTCGGATATTTGCTTTATCATATCAGTGTGTTCAAACATTCTCATTTGCGCACGTCCATGGAAATCACGACTCCGGAAATAATTGTCACTGTCAATACATCATCATGGATCGGCGTATATATTTATAGTTTTCGATGCGGAAATTGGATGCAGTGAACCAAGTTCAGTTTTCACCATCGTCAGTTATGTTTACTTGGGACTAAGGCCCTTGTAAAGTCATGATTTTTTTTTCTGCTCCTCAACACCATTATGAGTTGAATAGCACGTTTTATTCGGCTTAGTCGAATTGGGTGACAATCCGTATAGAAATACGACAGTTTTATATTCAAGAGCGTGAACAAAATTACAAGAAATCACTGCACTCTTTCTCCCAAAAAGTCACAGCAATTAGCAGTAATAAACAAAATTTAATCTGAGGAAGAACCAAGCTGAAGGATGATGCCATTAAAAAACAAAAAATAACATTATTATTATTAATACTACTACTACTACTACTATTATTATTATTGTTATTATGTTAATACGCTCTATTTGGAGCACTGAGGCCATAATTTTGTGTGGGGTTATTCATAAAATTAAGCTAGCTAATAAGCCATAGATAGATAGATAGATAGATAGATAGATAGATAGATAGATAAATGTCGTGTTCTTGCTTTGATATGAACCAAATCATCATCATGGTTGTCCCTTGAACCCGGAGAAAACATCCTTTTGCAATTCATTAAAGGACCCCGAGGTGACTGGAAAAACGTCTGGAATCAGTGTCGACACACGAAATCAATGTTCGTTACCAATTCTAAAGATGCACATTCTAGGCGAATTACCTGCACCTTGCTGCCTGTTACACATTTTCTTGTAAGAAAGTGATGATTGATTTTAAATCATTGTTACAATTTGTGGAGATAAAAGACGCATTTCAATATTACCTAATGATCTAATGTGACCTCCATCTTCTGTCTTTCTCCTTCTATATTTTGGATAGGAGTCATTTCCTTGTTCAAATAAAACAAATTAATTTAAATCAAAAGGTAAGAAATCAGTGGGGGTGACCCCCCGAACCTCTTTGATCAAAATAAAATATACTTATTCAAATATCCTAAGAGTCATTCCCTTGTTCAAATTTAAATTTAATTTATATCAAAGGAAAAAAAAATCAGTGGAGGTTTTTGTCGTCTGGGGATCCCCTTTAATTAAAACGAAATATACTTATACAAGTGCATTGGATAATGCAGTTTCAGAATATATCTGGTTATGGGGATTTATCTCCAAAACGCTTGGAGGAGTTCGATAACAAGCAGACAGACAGACAGAGGCTATAACTTTATATATATATATATATATATATATATATATATATATATATATATATATATATATATATATATATATATATATATATATATACGTCTCTGACTTCTTTGAAGGTTGTAGTGATGAACTAGCTTCTTTTACTTTTGATTGTCTCTTTGTTCAGTTTCTTTGGTCAGACTTGATGTCTTCTACCAGATAGTAGCCCTGAATACAAAAGTTATCTGGTGAACTAAGGTAAGCAACAATTTGCTTGTAGTTGCCTGACCTTAAGCACTTGTACATGTATCCTGGGTGTTGAGGTACTGTACCTGTGTGTTCATGGGATTGTTTAGTGGAATAGAATCATAGGTGCATGTTGAGAGTGTTTTCTTTTTGTTTCGAAGGATTAAACGGTCAAGCCAATTGGGTGTTATATCTAGATATCTGGGAACTAACTCAACCGGAAACCATCTAGAGGTCTACGGCTATATCATATTGTAACAACGTCTCTCACACGATCAACGAAGTTAAGCAACGTCATGTCTAGTCAGTACCAAGACCACTTGGGAATGTCAGATCCTGTAAACTTGGATGTGCGGGAGAAGTAATGGATAAATTCACAGAATTGGAAATGAGAGAGCAGAGTTCTAATCCCAGTCTGGTTCGCTATATTAATTCATGCGCCGATACTCTTGCGTAATCCACTTCTTTTCTCACAGCGTTAGATTAATTAGTAATACTTTAATCAGTAATCTATTATTATCCAAAAACTTTCTTAAATCTAAAAATAGTTTCTGGCTTTAAATAACCTACAAAGTGCTGAAAATGAATCAGACCATCTAGGTAGATTTTTAACAGAGAATGGTAAATGCGCGATGAAAATCCGACAGAACATTGGATTAGCAAAAGACTCATTCCAAACACCAAACAAAGTATTAGGATATTGGAATATTTTGATCGAAGCAAATAATGTTTATTGCAAATGGGTCCCACTTGAATTAAGATTAGTTACTTGTTTTTTTTTCTTATAAGCTGTCAACATATCAACCATATTTGGTTGTAATTAATGTGCCTGTTTTTTTTTTCTCTGTTTGACAGTGAGAAGAGGTTCCTGGTGTCCCATAAAACTTTCAACCTTTTGCCACACAAACTAATTGTTTTTTTTTATCCCCAAATAGAAAATGCCAATAGAAAATGGCGTGGTTAGACACATTACAAGGCACGATAGCTTGTGCAATACCATAATGCAAGGCACCATTGAAGGCGGACGTCAAAAACAGACAGGTATGACCGTACCAGAATTGCTGATGGCTGCCCTGAATAGACAGTTGTGGAAAAGAGTGTGGCTTCTCAATTCGGATCCGCTCTACGATTACAAAAGTCAAGGGGATGAGGAGGAGGAGGAGGAGGAAGAGGAGGAGGAAGATGATGAATGTGCCTGGTAAAAATTTATTGGACTGGCTGTCATGAGGGGTCTATTAGACTTCGCAGGTAACTGGTTGCGAAAAATAAATTGATTCACCTCTGCAAACAAACACAAAAGTAAAGACCAGACGCTTTCATCGAACATGAAAAAGAATAGAACAATAATATGTAGATCAGGCACATCAGCTAAGGGAAAAGAGAAGTGCTGAACAAGATTTTTAAACAAGAAAAAAAGGCAAAGTGACAGTAACTAGCAGACCATAGCATGAGGACGAAGAAAGATGAAAATAAAATGGTAACTACTTGGAACGGTACCAAAATTACTCGAATCTAGATAGGAAATAATTCAAGAAATATTTCAAGGTTATCTAATCTAACGTGGGAGGAGGGAATGATTTGCGATTAGTATGATAAATGAAAATATGATGGATATTAGTGAATAGTCAATGAACCTGGCTATATGGATAAGCCATTAGACATGCGTTGTGGGCTTGCGGCCATATCGCGTTAAAACAACGGTTTCCGTAAGATCGCCGGAGTTAAGCAATGTCGGGTCTGGTCAGTACTTAAATGAGTAACCGTTTGGGAATACCAGCTTAGATGTACGGGTAGTGGTATGCATAATGGGAAAGGTATGAATACACCTCTTTTTCCCTCCATCTATTGGTTAATTAGTAATACTTCTATCATAAAACCATTATTATCTTAAAAAAATAACAACCCGTACGTGATATTTAGAATTCGGCGTTAAAATAACTCATAGAGGTGTTTATGTGCCGCTAAACAAAAATAACAAAACATCATCTTTTTAAAGGAAAAGATATTAAATACTTGTGAAGTATATTTAAAATGAAACATTTTCTATTGCACTGTAATAAATGGTTTTCTTTTGCATTTGCTCTTCTGGCATTATTAAAGTTAGCTTTAATCATTTCACTCCTACTATAAGGCGATGAAAAAATGAAAGACATTATTAAGTAACGAGAACAATAAAAGAACAGGAATTAAAAAGACGGAAGATATCGATGGACATTGCATTTAAAGTAGTGGAAGATCAAAGTTGACTAAAAAGCTAGAAATCGGGAGAGAGTACCAAAAGTGAGAAGTGAATAGAAGAAACGGTTAGCATAGAACTTACCAGTACATCTAGCAATTTCACCTGTAAAATTATGAGACATTGCCGCCAATCTAATACTGGCATTCGGCTCATAAAGTCCTGTTACCATGGAGTATTGTTTATTTGAAAGATTTCCATAAAAGAATTTATAGAAAAGGCATAAGAAAGCTGCGTTACGCCGGTGGAAAAATGAATGAAACTGTGATGCCAGGTTTTGCAATCTTTATTGAATTTAATTTTCTCTAATTAAGAAAAAAGGTACATAAATAAGAATTTTAGAAAAAGAATCAGTAGCCGTCGCTGGTATATAATATAGACCACTATAATCCAAGATTTATTTTGGTTGTGATCCTTTCAAGTTCACAGATTAATTTCTTGATTGATTTAGAAAATGGATTAGGAAAGATGCAGCGTTCTAGATTTCAAATTAAAAATTCGCGTGCTTTTTTTTTTTGCTTTTTTTTTATAAGGAGATAACTTTTTTTCAATTTATTTATCTTTACGTAGTTGCCTTTTAATCACGATGGAGTTTTTTTTTTTTCTTTGGACTTTGAGCTTGAATTCTGGATGATTGTTTTCGCCTCTGCTAGAAATATCTATCTCAAGCACGGTGAATACTAGACCTGGATTCTTTAATATTTCCCCTTTTCTAGCAAGATTAATGCTCGACAAACATACATATAATTTTTAGATTAAAATAAAATTCTTTTCATTTTTCATTCAAAATACTATATTTTAGGAATACGTTTTCACAACATCGCCCACGTGACGCCGACGTGATCATATTGAAACGGAACGCTGATCTTGAAAAAAATTTGTTGTCTGTTTTGATTAGTCTTACTCTTATGCCCATCGTATTTTCATGTTGAATTAAATATAATCTAATGTTAATTATGTTTTATGAATATGTCCTGAAGATGGTCTACTAGACCGAAACATCCGATGTTGACATTATATTAACATTAAAACAGCATAATTGCATATTAGGATTTCTGTTTGTTTTTTCTGTATATTTTTCTTCATACTGTCAGATCTATATCCATATATTTGCTTACAAATATATATATATATATATATATATATATATATATATATATATATATATATATATATATATATAAATCAATTCTACCCATAAATTGTTATGTCATCCTTAATGATAACAGTATATAATTTATTAAAATAAAAATAATATTTCTATACATGCCGCCATATTTTCCTTCTTCTGCAAGAGAAAGTTTTCAGAAAAATCCTCAGAATTATAAATTGGAGCCATAAACATGAAGCAGGTGCAGAAGTTTAAATATCTTGGAAGCCTTTTAACAGAGGATGTAAAATGCGGCAATAATATCCGAACATGCATTGGACTAGCAAACGATGTGTTGGTGCTGAGAAACAGAACAAAACACGTTAGAAACAAAGAAAAGAGTGCTGGATTGCTATGCGATATCTATCTGCATATATGACAGTGAATGCTGGACAGCCTCCGTAGGGATGAGGAAAATATCAGAAATATGGCTCTTCATAAGGTTACAGAAAATTCCATGGACTCGGACGGAACAATAAGGAAGTCTTAAAGAAAATGACAACAGAAAGAAGATTCATACACAGACTCCGGAAAAGACAGATGATAAGAGGTCGGGCTTGGAAAACTAAGCCTATCGGGTATACTTAGGACAAGAGAGACAGGGGAAAATAGCGAGACATGTCATTGTACGTTGATTTTCTTAGCGTGGGTTATACGCGGCACAAGGCCTAAAGTATGGGACACCCAGTGAGGATGCTGCTCACTACTCAGTCGTAATTCATCTAGCGAGACTACTTACTTTACCACTTTGAAGTGCCACTGATCCGGTTTTATGTATAGATGCCGGAACGTGAGTTGAGAGCCTTAGCAAAAGGGAAAAAAAACTGGTATAAGCCACACGGGATAGGAAGTTGAGGAGAGCTATGAACGCATATGTCCTGGCGATACGCAGCACATAGAAGAAGAACAAGTAGTAACCTAGTCTTTGTAGTATGGTAAACGAATTTGGAACGATAAATGATTTACATTAATTATGTTATTTTGTTATTTTTCATCTCAATGCTCAGGTCGTTTCAGTCAGTGATCGTTCAAATAAACAAACTTCGAGACATTATCACTAGACTAGATTTGAACCACTATCATATGAAAATGGTTGCTATCAAGCTCAAACTTCGATCACGTGACCATAATAGTATCAAGTACGCATGTGCAGAAAGCAGTGTGACAAAACCTAAAGATATGGTGAAGGTGTGGATTTTTTTACTTACCGTCATATATATCCCTGTAGTCTGTCATTAAAATGATTTCTACGGTTAATCCTAGGGTATAACGGTAAACTACTAATCCGTAGATTGGAGGTTATAAAGAAAGTGGAACCAGCTCTTAATTAATGTTGTTCCCAGGCCTACCCCGTGGTAGTAGCACCCGTTGGGGTCCCACATGTGAGTAAATAGTAAATACCTAAACAAAAATAAATCGCTCTGAAACTATAGAAATACATATTTATAACAAAATAAGAAACAATACCTATTTGTTGTAAAATTAGGAACACTGTCTATTTGTATTCAAATTAGCAATGATACATATTTATAGTAAAACTAGAATTTCACTAATTTAGTTGAAGGTAACGCTAACATTTTTTGACGGGCTTTACAAACTCTATATTAACTTTAAGTAGGAAATACTTAAAGAAAAGATATGCAAAAAATAATATTGCAATTTTATTAAATAAGTTTTTGTTATTTTAATCATTAAATTATTTTTCAAATTGTGGCAGGATTTTGTATTTGAATTAATAAAACTGTTAATTTTTCAAAAAATAATGACTGCAAATTTATTGTACTAAGCTACGCACAAACCAATTTTACTTTGTACCCACTTGTTTGCTTTTCTCCCCAAAATTTGGTTTCGATCATTCAATGTATGGCTATTTTAGAGTGTGTGAGGGACGGATAGATGGAAGTCACAAAATTTTATATATAGATTAGCAACACTACATATTTATAGTAAAATTAATAGCAGTACATTATTAAATCAAAATGACCAGCAATAACTTTTATAGTAAAACGAACAGTACATTTTAGGTGTAGTTGTAGGCATATACTTGCGTTCAAAATATATATTAGTTGAAGTCATAAAATTGTGTTCAAAATATTTAGATTTCGTCATTAAATAAATCATAACTGACATACTGACCAGCTAACACTTCTACCACTTTGGTAATAAAAGCTACTAATGATCGTATTGCTTACTCCTTAATCCGTACTGTCTCCTATGCTTACTCTCTTTAAATATTAGATATGACTAGAAGCATGGCCCGGCGTTGCTGGGCTTGATTCAAAAATCGTACGACTCATACAGCAATCGCTATCACTTGACTTAAAATATTTTTGCCCTTCCTTGCCTTTAAAGGAGTGCCCTTTGCCGTGTTGATGTTGCTACATGCCTTACTTCTTGCCTATCTCACGTTGCGAAGTTTTTCTAAGCTCTATACTAAACATTAAATCTGTTACGAAAAAAGAACTAAACAAATGAACACAAAACGATCAGCTTTAAAAAAGGACTCGTAACTGGAAAAACCGAATGAAAAAAGAATGTTAACAACAAATAATTTTTCCCACTCAACCCAGTTCTGTGGAATCAGAATCAACGTTGATTTTAAGCAAGCGAATGAGCCAATTGGAGTAAAGTGCCATGCAGATTTAAATGCTTCCCACTTGTGACGAATGCAGCTCTAGATTTTCTTTTTTTGCATGCTAGCATGCTAGTTAACATTTGTGTCAGTCAGCTGATGGCTCTCACGCTGGCCAATAGAATCTTCCTGGCCTATTCGTGGCAGCCACCTATAGTCTCTCACTCTGGCACGTACAAAATGGCCGGAAACTACATGAAGACTGCCGTAGAAGCATGAAAAAATCGATTATTTCCACTATCGATGGGAGTTGAGAAATGCAACGTAGGTCTTGGCCTTTCCGCTAACTTGGAGCATGTGCATGTAAATTTTGGTGCAAATCCGTCGAAAATTGCGGCCGTGCATTCGTCAGACACACACACACACACGCACATCCTGTCTTTTATAGATAGAGATAAACTTTAAATTGTTAGAATTATTAAGAAAGTTCTTCATTTAAGACATTCAGACCACTTAAAGACTCTTATCATTTCCCTGTTGGAAAAATTTCATTAATTGTTTTGTTTCCATCGTTGTAAAAATGAACATTTTTTTAAATAAAACACCGCCACTTCCTTTACGCTTTCGTTAGAAGCTTATAATTTTTATTTATACATTTTATTAGTAACCGATTTATTCGGCAACATTTGCCAAAAGGGTCCTTTATCAAATTCCTCAACTTACAAAATTATTGTTTAACTTGCACCCTTTTTTATTTTCTCGTTTTAAGATTTTAAATCTATCTGTATTTATTCTAAGTGAATTTATTTTTATTCATGA